TTTCTGTTTTATAGCTAATAGTATTGAGTACCTCTTACTTGGAGCTGGATTGTCCCACTTCCATATTGCGGGGTTATTAAAACAGTGCATGTGTAGATCCCTTCGTCATCTAATGTCACATTATGCAGGTTCAGTGATGCGCTGCCCTGGGTTAGTAATTGAGGATTCACCAAGGCCCCATTCCGGTGATATAACGTATGCTTTCCATCAAACTGGTATACGGTCTTCTCTCCAAATTCATTGTTTATGGTCCATTTCACTGCCACATCCTCCAATTTAACACTCTTCCAGATTGTAAAATTACAATGCAACTCAATATGTTTGTCCACCAGACAGAATACTGGGGAAGGGCTGGTCCTGATTTCCAATGTAGCTAAAAATAAAACAAACGAACATGCAATTGGCACTCACTATCAGTCTCAGCAACAGGAAAAGGAGCGAAAGGGCTATAGAGACTGAATTCTCCCTCTCAGCCCTAATTAGGGGCTTGCCTAGGATCAGGATGGAGTCACATCTCTGGGGTGGGGACATTCATGCTTCTATGGTTGTACCTGTTCTGTGGATAAATCAAAGCCATCAGACACATATCCGAGGGGATTGATATTTTTAGGAACTGAGCCCTATAAGAACATAGAACATAAGATCAGCCAGACTGAGTCAGACCAAAGGTTCATCTAGCCCAGTAGCCTCTCTTTTGACAGAGGCCAGAGCCAGATGCTTCAGAGGGAATGACCAGAACAGGGCAATTTCAAGTGAGCCATCCCTTGTCATCCAGTTCCAGCTTCTGGCAGTTGGAGGTTTAGGTACACCCGGAGCATGGGGTTGCATCCCTGAGCATCTTGGCTAATAGCCGTCTTGGCTAATCGCCATAGTTCATAAACATGAATTTATCTAATTCTTTTTTCAACCCAGTTATTATTTTGGCCTTCATAGCATCCCCTGCAACGAGTTCCATAAGTTTTCTCTGCATAGTGTGAAGAAATACTTCCTTTTTTTGTTTTAAACCTGCTGCCTATTAATTTCATTGGGTGACCCCTAGTTCCTGTGTTATGTAAAGGGGTAAATAACACTTCCCTGTTCACTTTCTCCGCACCATTCATGATTTTACAGACTGCTATTATATCTTCCCCCCCCTCCCTCTCCAGCTGAACTGTCCCAGTCTTTTTAATCTCTCCCAGTATGGAACCTATACCATACCCCTATTCATTCTTGTTGTCTTGTTGCCCTTCTCTGTACCTTTTCCAATTCTAATATATCTTTTTTTGAGATGGGGTGACCAATATATTGATGCTTTGGAGCACCAGACATGTCATTGTTTACTCAATGGGACACTGTCAACTAGGGTGACCAGACAGCAAATGTGGAAAATCGGGACAGAGGAGGGGGGTAATAGGAGCCTATATAAGAAAAAGACACACAAATCAGGACTGTCCCTATAAAATCAGGACATCTGGTCACCCTACTGTCAACATAAAAATTACACATCTGTCTCAAATGTATTTCCTTACCCTTGTTACAAGTAGCACGTGAAAAGGATTAGAGAGGGGAGTTGGATTCATTTTTTGTTTGTTTATTCCATGCCTTTGACAGCACACTATGCCAAGCACAGGTCTCAGATCTGCTAGCAAGAGTGTCTGCACCCATGTGCAGCCCCATTGAAGTCAATGGGGTATTACATAGGTGTAGGATTCACACCAACTGAAACAAATGGTGGATCGTGATCTTAGTCAGTTTCCTCTTTTAATTGTGTGAGTCCAGAAAATGTAATCGTAAACAACACAATTAAGACTCAAGAGATCAAGATAAGACCTGAAACAACTTTTCATTCATTTTTTTTAATTGACTAGATTTCAAGCTGATGGTACCGTTTGCTTTTCTAAGTCATTGTCATACATTTCTGTCTGTGGAACATCTCTTCCCAATTTGTAAAAGGTCTGCTATAGAAATTGTTCCACATGTTTGTTCCAGATTCCTGTCTGAAATAAACCTGCCATGTTAGGGAGCCAACTGCACTCTTTGGTATCGGAGATTTCAGAAATTAATCAGACTTCTTTTTTTGTAACTACGCCACTGTAGTCAAACATACCTTTAATAAAACTAACCTTATTTATTACTGAACAAGTCAGGAGATTATATTTTCCACTTGGACTGCAGGTGTGGAATTTGGATAGTTCTTAATGGACATAACGTTTCCTTTTCTCCTTCCCCCTCCCCCACTTCAACTTCCCCAAATGGCAAATGTTCAGAATAGTTTTCATGTTATCTCCTTTGAATTCTTATTTATTTTATTTATTGTTACAACACAGCTCTTCAGGCCACATTCTGCTCTTGATGCACTTGAAAACGGGAATCTCCAATGAAATTAACAGGAGCCCTGTAGGTGCATCCAAGAGCAGAATTTGGCCCTTAAAACTGAAACCCTCAAACTTGGAAGCTGAAGACACTTTGGGCCAAATTTGCCTTCACTTTAGATGCAAGTTGTTACACATTCCAAACAATTAGTGTAAAATACTATTACTTTTCTAGCCCTGTTCTGTGAAGCATTCCAAATATTAGTTACCCTGATATTCTATGTTTGCTCTGTATTGTGTTGCAACATAGCCACTCATATCTCTGGAATGTAAACTCTTTTGAGGAGGGACCTATTATTTGTCTGGCATAAGTTTATCTAGCATATAGCACCATGTGTGACAGATATGGCAATGTCGCAATATCCCTGAAGGATCTTATTGTATTAAGTTCATGTAATCTCTCTAGGGGCAAGATATGACCAATGTAGGAATGGGGAGTTCAAAAGACTCTATTGAAAATGCCAGACAAGTATGGACTTTTGGGACAATAAGCATTAACTGCAGTTCCTGGGGATACCTAGGGTGCAGTTAATGCACGTTATCCAACTCTGGTTATGCAAAAACCCAGCCTTTTCAAGCTACATCCAGAGGAGAGGGTCTTTGTTGATTACCCATTGTAGAAGATCAAAGGCCGAAGCTGTATAAAGAAACTAATGCTCTGCCCAGCCCTTGTTCTGGTTCTGGAGCTAAGATGGATATGAACTTTCAACCACAGGAAAAATCCAGTGGTGGGTTTTCAAAGACTGAAAGCTACCAGTGTGCTAGGTTGGTGTTGGGGGTGACCAGTGGTAACCGTTCTAGCATGTGTGTAGATTCTTTTATTGTTTTCTCTGTCCTGTTTTTACCTTAAGAATAAATGTACTTGCTTAAAAGGAGCTATGTGGTAACCTGTAACTGTGGGCAATACATGGGCTATAGCCTTCAGGGAGAAAGCAACATGCAGATGCTCGCCTGTTTAGGCAGTCTGGCTTGCTGAGGATATCACAGTGTAATCCAAGGAGCTGTGCAGCCTTAAAATCCCCTGTGAGGAGGGAGAGAGAGATGCAGGTCTCTGCTCAAGAGAGGTGATGGCTGGGAACCAGAAACCTTTAAGTGAATGTCCTAGAGGAACCATGGAGGGGGAATACAGGTGCAGTTACCAGAAACTATGAGTTAGGCTTGACAGAAATTGGTTTACACACACACACACACACACACACATATATATCCATTTTATTTTTAAGAATTTTAAAGATTTTTATCAATTTAAATTTGCATAGCTGCACAAGATGGGTTTTAAAGCTTTTTTCTATTTTTATCTATTTACATTTTTATAGGTGTGGGAAATTATGGGGGTCAGACAATTATTTAATGACAATAGACATTGAAATTCAATCAGTTAAAGCTTTATAACCAAACACAAACTGTCAATATCACATGTCAAAATGTCCAAAGTAAATACCCTCAAATCAAGCAATCCGACCTGTTCACTAGCCCATTTGTAACAAGCCGAATTCAAAGTCTAAATCTTAAGAAGTTATCAGGCAGCATTTTTCTTACTTTGCCCAGCTGTAACTTTCGATGATTACTGATAGAAATGTTTTGCCAGTTCCTGTGTGTACCGTGAAACTGACATTTACTGATAAAAATCTAATCCTTCCCAGCCTACTTAGCCTGCTACTTAAATAAACCACAAGACCACCGCCAACTTCGGGACTTTCCTCCCTCTCGTTGCGGTGACACTTTGGGTTTGTGTTCAACCTCAACTCCGACTGATTTAAAAAAATCCCCAAAGGCCCAACACTGCCGCCTTTGCTGCTGTTGAACAGTATCTTCCTTCGGGAATAGCCCCAGCTGAACAGACCCACTCAAGGAGCAAGGTCCTGCACAAAGGCGAATAGAGGCGGCGGAGTCTGGCTGGCAGCGACGGGTCATTGATTGGAAATACAGCAGCGGCAAAGGAGGGGAAGGCGGCGGGAGGGGCAGCAAAGGGAGCCTCCCGTGTCACTCGCCGCCTCCAGCAGGCACAGCCCAAGCCGCAGGGCAGAGGAAGAGGGGAGCGTCCATACCTGCAGCCACGAGGTGCACCAGCATGAGCAGCGCTTCCATAGTCCGGTGTGGGCAGGGCGGGGAGCCGGGAAGGAGCCGCCGCAGCAGGTGCACTTTGAACTGCTGGAGAAGTT